TTTTTTTTTTTAATTTTTTTTTTATTTAAATAAGGAGAATTCTTTCATATGGAAAGAGCTAGTACAATCACATATTTGAAAGGAGAAACAATAGGTACTGATCGGAGGGAAAGGGCAAAGGGTGAGTGCCACCATGGCCTGCTGAATCCATGATTCCGTTTCCCATCCAAGGCAAAAGCTTCCCAGAAAACGTATAAACAAGCTGCACATTACACCTTTAGCCATCGTCTGCCCTTTCAAATATCTGGTCTACATGAAAAGACAAAGAGAGGAAAGGCCAAAATAAAAACAAAAGGGAACAAAAACAAAACACAACCCTCTTAAGAACAACAACAAAAAACCCAAACCCTTTTACTACACAAGGCTTGAAGTCAAAAGCTTAAGAGTACAGTATCCCCTTTAAACAATGGAAGAAAGTCATCCACACAGAGCCTTAATAGAAATTTCCACTCTGAGGCTTCCTAACATGCTGAACACAGGGTCCTGGGGACACTGTCCCCCAGCCAGGGTGGGGAAATGGTGAACAGCAAGATCAGATGTGCCTGAAGATCACTAGCCAAATATGTGCTGGTGGTCCTGGAGGAGGGCATGGCTAGGGGACAGTGTCAGACCCCAACACTGAGCCACCCTGTCCCAGGTGAGCTCTGTCTCAGGTCCATCTCATTTTCAAGCAGGATGAGCTGGCTTTCCGGAAGTCTGCGTTTCCCATTCATCACAAACCATGACAAAGCAGAGGCACTCTGTAGTGTCCTCGGTTGTCAAAGGCCATTTCCAACTGACCTTGTAACCCAGGCTTGCTCTGCAAGAAGTGCAAAGGGACAAATACAGATTTGAGGGGCAACATGCAGCCGCTTGGTGGAGGGAAACAGAACAGCAGGGAGGGGCTTTACCGGTTTGCCACACACTGCCTCGGTGGGCCGTCTCTGAACACGGCCGTGCAACCACGTGCACACCCTCAGCGTCCTTGGCTCTGAGCATCATTCACAAACCTCACCCACCATCCAGAAGGCAGATCCTGAAGACGGGAAGGCGAGGGCGTAGTTGGAGACCCGATGTCGACATTTAACAAAGATACCCCAATATCCCCAAGAAGTGGCTGGATGACCACAGCTTTGAACTCAACCAACCGATTTCTGAGTGTGTAGGTCCATCCTTTGTTTTCCCTCTTGAGGAACCCAGAGCCAGAAGTGTATGAATTCCAAGTTTGAAAACAAAAGTAAGGTGGATTAAAAAGGGGGAAGCAACAGTAAAGAAAACCAGACCAAATACAACTGGCAGAGAAGTTTTCAGTGGGTGCATGCCTCTTGGATACTCGACCCCACACTCTGAGACTTCGCCCTGTTCAGTAGTTGACGCTGGACGGACACTACCGCAGGGTCGCCTGTTGCCGAGCAACGGGCCGCACCATCAATGGCCAAGGCCAAGCTGCCAGCATCGGAAGGGAGGCAAAGGTGCGGTGAGAGAGCTCCGACCGCTCCCCTCCCCTCCGCTCCATCTCAGCAGCAGGAAAGCTAAGTGCTGGTCTTCGCCTGTTCCCACCAAAGGCCCCACGGCATCCTGGCAGAGGCCTCTGCGTGGATTTACACTCTGAGGATGAGGGTTTGAAACCAAAATAAGACCCTAAGCCCCATTAACCTTGAGCGTGGTTCTAAAACCACATGAAAGGAAGAGATATTGCACCTTAAACACCTCTGCACTATAAAACTGCATTTCATCAGACCAAGGAAGGGACGGGACGTCGGGCAGGCCTCAGGTCTGCCCTCTGCCCCGAGTCCAATTTAAAATCTGCATCTTAGTGGGAAAGAGACGGCAGCTCGGGCACACGGAGGTGGTGAATGCACTGAACTTCACATGCAATTTCCTGGCCTTTCCTGCACAGAATAATTCAGACATTATATATAAATAGAGCAGTGAAACATTTACTGGTTTTCACCTAGACCTACAACATCAATACATATAAATAAATTCTAGTGTTTTGTT